GAGCTCATGATGTAATAACAGTTCCATCTGGAATGTAGCCGATGCATTTCTGACATCATCACAATCTGATTTACTCTACAGATCCTACATGACATCACTGCAGTCCTGACCAATCCCAGTGCTCCGTTGAGTTTGCTGAGGCAGCTTGCGCAAACCGACCTAGAGCTTTGCAGGGAGGCGGAGTCTGAGCTGATTGTTCCCACCCTGGAGGTTTGGAGCCGACAACTAACCTCTCTAGCAGTGAGTCAAATCTTTGGGAAATGAATTTAACTAAAAATACGGTCACATTTATCACTGTTTGGCAAATTTTTCAATAGGAATCCACACGATTGGAACTTTGCTTGAGATTTTGCAGATTTCGCAACTGCTTTAAGTTGATTACGCAGATTCACCACATTGACCAACAGAGGTCAGATTGGTTTGAAAGCGACTTCTGTGTGAGAAGTGCTTCATACATCGCTACACTATCGATAATAGACAACGAACCTTTTTTGCAAAATCTAAATTTTGCTCAAATTTGCACATTTAGCATTGTTCGGTTATTTTTTGTGTGCAAAATTTAGTCATTTCAGTAGGAATCTATGCAATTTCACGTAAGGGTGAAAGACTTCCCCACTCAGATTTCACAACTGGTTCAAATTGGTTACGTGGATTTGGCGCATTGACCAACAGAAATCTGTTTGGTTTAGAAGTAACTCTGCTTCATATATTGCTACGCTTTTGATGACAAAATTTGGCTGAAAATTCATCTACAGATGTGGTCACATTTTACGTTTTAAAAATTTTCATGGGCAAAATTCAGTCATTTTAATGGCAATTTATGCAATTGGGAACGGTTGAACCAATGGGTAAAACCTGGTTAATCTTTGGGCAATGAATTTAACTACAGGTGCGGCCACATTTACCGTTGTTTGGCAAATTTTTGACCGCAAAATTCAGTAATTTTAATACGAATCTATGGGAATGGTTGAACCCATTGAAATATCTGCATAGGGAAATCTTTCACCCTCAAGCAAAGTTCCTGATTGCATAGATTCCTACTGGAATTACTGAATTTCGCAGAAGAATGGTAAATATAACCACATTTTTAGTTAAATTAAATTTCTGTGAATTTTCGTAGCTGAAATTTGGTGATTTCATTTGAAATCTATGAGATTGGAAATGGTTGAACCGGTTGTGAAATATCCTGTTAAAACGACTGGATTTTACCCACAAAAATTCGCCAAACAATGGCAAATGTGACCGCACGTTTAGTAAATTCAAATTTTGGCAAATGTTTGCAGACAAAATTATTTCAATGCAAGTCCACACTACCAGAATTTTCATGTGAAAAGTTTTCCCCACTCAGATTTCGCAACGGGTTCAACTGTTCTAGATCGCATTGAAAAGGCTGATTTAACCCACAAAATTTTGCCAAAATTTGAATAATTGAACAAAAGGTACAATTTATACCATCAACTTCATACTTTGTATGAAGCAAAGCTCAAACAGAAATTTCACAGAAATGTCCCCAATGTGACTGCACTTAAACTCATTGGGTTTGAATGTGATTTGTTTGGTTCACTAGGATCTTCATCGTGCCCTTATCCGATTGGAGAAGAGGTTGTTGCCATGGCAGCCAGAGGGCAGCATCACCGCTCCTTCAGGTCCTGTGCGGGTGGGAGACTTGATGCTGATCGTCGACACGCTGCTCGATGAGACGGCATCAGTCGACAAGGTACTTCTTCTGAAAGCAACATTTCTCTTAGTGTGCTTAATTAATGATCCATCAGCTGAAGATGCTCACGATGTTCCTCAGGTTCTGCGCAGCCCCACCAGACACACCCTGGAGTCCATGGTCGCCCACTTCCAGAAACTCTTCGATGCTCCATCGCTGACGGGAATCTATCCTCGCATGAACGAGGTCTACACCAAGCTGGGCGAGATGAACAACGCACTTGGGTATTGAGATATAATGAAAGATATCTCAGTGTAAGTGCATGACATGCAACCTTCCTCTTTCTCTCTGAATTGATGTTGTTATATCTAGATGATAAAGCGCCTCCTAGCGAGGTCGTCATCAAGGTAGCTGCAATCGTGCCGCAGTCAGGAAACGCTGCAGGTCAGGAGCTCTACAGGCTTCTGGAAAGCAGTGACATTGACCGGTACGTCCATCTCAGTGTTTTAGTCTTTGTGCTCAAATGTCTGTAAACCTGTTCTATAAGATTTTACGATGAGGTTTAAGTCACTAACATCAGTTAATGCAGTAATTCCCAAACTTTTTCATCAACCAAAAACCCCTCTAACCTAAATATTTACTTGGCGTCCCCTTCAGATTTTAAGTTAATATTTCAAGAATTGAATAACATCCACAGTTCTTTGATGTCACATAATGGTCAAATGACATGTTGGTAAACAAATAAATTTTTCATCTTTTTTTTACATTTAAAGTGTGAATTTTTAGTCATTATATTTTTATTCATTATTGCTTTTATGTTTATCCATTATTTAATTGTATTCATTAGATTTTTTATTTTTATAAAAAATTTTGTCATTAGATAACTCCATGCAGTTTGTGTTTTTGCATGAGGTATCATGAATGAACAATACATTTATTTTATAATATTAATCATTATTTATATTTTTAGGTGTTTAAATATGCACAACTTAAATTTAAGTTTTTCAATACTTTGATGCCTAATTATCTAAAGTACACTTTTTTCATGTAGTTCCATGCGTCAGCTATCAGAAATAATAATGTGCGATTAAATATTATTAGTTAATGTCATAGGTATCATGCCCTAACAATGAACAATAATTTTTTTACAGCATTTACTCATCTAAGTTGATGTTAATTTAGAAATATAATATAACAAAAAATAAATAGAATAAATAGAAATTTTACTAATTATTTTATGATATCTAGTACATTAATGCTTATGAATTGAACCTCATTTATATTGACTCGTTCAGTTTGGTGCTTCAATTTATGTAAGAATGGCATGTAAAAAATTAAAGCATAAATTTTCACATTTAATTTGTTAGTTTAAATAATAATAATGTTCAAATTAACATTAGTTAATGCGTTATCTAATAATGAACAGTAAGTCTTAATAGCATTTACTAATCTAACTTAATTTATATTTATAAATGTACTTTAGTTCGTTGTTAATTCCTTTTCTTTCGTAATATATTATTCAATGTGAAATTTTAAAAATGTATATGAAAATGTTAATGAATTTATCCTTATAAAGCGTGACCAACTTCTTGTGTAAGTTCATGTTTAATTCATTTGCTAATTTTAAAATCGAATTCCATGCATCAACTTTCAAAATAATAATGTTCAATAATATGTAAATTATGTATCAAACCTTTAAAAGCATTTATTCATTTTAGTAAATGAAAAATATTACAGCATAAATGTTCACATTTTGGGCCAGATTACGCCAGCGCAAACTGTCTTTTGGCGTTAAAATGGATTTACTAAAGTTGTGCAGTGAAGAATTAGCGCTGTTAAGGTGTGGACACAGTTGTTTCTGTGACTTCACCTCATTGAATATGCATTTGTAGGAGTTTCCTTTTCGATCGGTTAATTTATGGCAGGAGAGTATGTAAATGAATCACGCAATGCGATTTCCTAATGTTTGCGCTTGTCAAATTACACCACTATTGAACGCCCAAAAAAAGCATGTCTTAAAGCTGGTCATTATGGAAATGAGATGTTGCGTCCGTGTTCTTTAATGTGCGCATTGTCAGTAAATCACACGCAGAATTTTCCCCTCCCATCAAGCACTTTTATGGAATTGTTTAGTAAATCTGGCCCTAAACGTCAACTATCAATATCATTGTTACCTCATCCTACCTCATTTTTTAAAAGCATTTGCTGATCTAAGTTAATGCTGACATATACTCTGTCCATTGTTGAATCATGGTCTTGCGTAATCCATTAACTTATACTTATAACTTAAATGTTAAAAATGTAGAAATGAACCTTTATAAGTTTTGTTCGTTATTGTAAAGTACACACATTGGGCCTCATTCATGAAACACGAGCAGAACGAATTTTTGTGTAAATCATTCGTAAAGCTGTTCTGACGTAAATTTTCAAATTCATGAAAATGTTCGTATTTTCAAAATGTTAGTTGATACGACAGAAATGTACACCTGCTCCCTACCACGTGTAAATGGTGTGTAAAACTTTTTGTGTTCTTTTTGGCAAACTGATGACACTGAATTTTGATGCACTGCCATCATAATTACAAGTTCATTTGCCCTTGTCCTCTTTTTGAAATTTTTTCTTCTTCCCATTTTTAATTAATTAAATTATTATTGTTTTGCAGCTGAGTTGATAATTGTAAAACGCAGCGCTCGTCACTGTCACTATTTACCCAGCCGTAAATAGAGGGGGGGTGGGAGTCGGGACAAATACCTAACCATCCTACTTGTACAACGATGGAGAAGTCAATATTACTGGTTACTGCTTTATTATATTTAGTAAAATTCTTAAAAATGAGATACTAGTAGGCTAATACGTTGCCGCCATTAATATTCCATACCATAGAATATTTCGTACAGTTTTGCTGTACTTTGGATCAAATAAATGCAGGCTTGGTGAACAGAAGAGACTTCTTTAAAAAACATTAAAAATCTTACTGTTCAAAAACTTTTGACTGGTAGTGTATAGTCGGGGGGGGGACATGTCCCTCGCGTAATCTACGCCCCTGATAGCAACTAAAGCGTCTTTTCCAGCAACTAAAGCTGGAAAAACGCTGTGCCACCAAAGCGTTCTCAAGCGCCACCAGCTGGTCGTTTTAAGAAGAGCGCCTGACATTTTTTCAGCTGGCTAAAAACTCTTTGGTGGTCGCACACATTATTGAATATTTATTGTTAGGCATATGGCCTAGTCTTTTTTTGCGTTTATGCAATATACTGGAGCCAACCAAACCTGAGAAAGTAGACCAGAATATTCCACTGCGTTCCTGGACATGCAATTTGCGTAGCTGTCATTTATAGGCGGGGTTTGTATTGTATTTCACAGTATCATCGTAAAGCTGAAGGAACACGAGGAATTCTTTCCGCTTTTCCACTCGTTCATACTGGAACTTCTGCAAACACTGGGTGAGAACAAACTTTATTCACGTTCAACAAGACAAGAATCAGTCAAACTGAAATCAACAGTTCATCCAATAGTGTTCTAGTGCACTAAAATCATGGCGCACGATTTGTTTGCCTAAAAAAAATCTTGTTAGACATTGTGGCGAGTTGCGTTTCCTCTGTTTCAGACGTCGCGATTCTAGACGACTTTTTACCGACAGTACGTTCTCTCAAAGGCTGCTGATGTTTTGTAAAGCACCATGTGGATTCACATCTGAATTTAAACGGGTTCATTTTTTTTTATTTTTTATAAATTAGCATTTTTGCTGTGTGTTTTAAATCAGCTCACAACAAGCAGTTACTCTCAAAAGCTCATTTTGTAACATCACAACCAGCAAGTTTGTATTCAAAAATCTCTCCTCTATGAGAAACAGTATGTAGATTTTGCTCAGGTTTGCAAACGTCCATCAGTCTTTGTCCTCCGAAGCGCTGGAGTGTCCCTGAAGTTTCTCCATGATCAGACTGTTGGAAGGTGCGTTAGTGATGAGCGTTAAGACAAACGTGGACGTCTCCTTGAAGACGTGGCGTATGAGCGTACACGACGCCAGGTCCTCGATGTGAAAGCCAGCGTGACGCTGTAGAATAGAGTCCGGCGTCTGAGCGCCAAAAAACTGCAACAGAAAACACTCGGGTTTTTATAAAGTTGTAAATATTTGAAATCACTTATGGACATCTGTTTGGACTGTGATGAAGGTACTTACAGCTTTTCCTGACAGTGGATTGATGAAATCGGCCCAGTATCCTCCTCTCCACAGCGTGAAGCAGATTTCTTTAGCACCACTGACAAACTGCAATCAGATGTTTAATAAACACTGTTCCATTCATCAAAAAAACCTAAAAAATGTATCTTGTTTCAACAAAAAATATTAAGCAGCATGACTGATTTAAACATTTATCAAATGTTTCTTGAGCAATAATTCAGCATATTAGAATGATTTCTGAAGGGTCATGTGACACTGAACTGAAAATCCAGCTTCATTCTACCATCCCAATAATAAGTTACATTTTACAATATATATAAATAACAAAAAAACAGCTATTCTAAATTGAAATAATTTTTCACAACATTACTGTTTTACTGTGTATTTTATCAAATAAATGTAGCCTTGAAGAACAAAAAAGACTTAAATATTAAGATGTTCTTTTTTCCATTATATTCAGGACAGTCAAGCACTTGAAAAAATCATCTCATTGCTGTAATTCATTCCTTTTATATAACTTTAGATGTTTTTCTCATTGATGATTTTAATTGTAATACATCAGTTATTTACAATAAAAATCTGCATAAAAATACATTATAAAATGTATCACAACGCAATAGATTATAATAATTAATAATATATTAACAATTTATACTATATATAATTAATGTATATACTTTATAAATAAAAGTATTTAATATATTCAATAAAGTATCATGATGCAATTAGTATAAATATACTATTTATTTAATAATAATATAATGTATATATAAAAATACAAAATGTATCACGATGCAATTTAATATACTTATATTATAATTTGTAATAGTTTATATGCAATTTTTAAATATAATATTTTATAATAATAATAAATTATTTAATTATTCTATATATAAAATGCATCATGATGCAATTAGTATAAACATACCATTTAATAACAACGTAAATATAACAATAAATAAAATGCATCACCATCCAATATAATATATTATAATTTGATAATCTATAATTTATAAATATAATATATAATTTAATTCAACATATAAAATAAATCTATCACAATGCAATTAATAGTTTAATAATAATTTATTACTAATATAATGCAACTTTACATTCCTTTGTATTTTTTTGTATTTAAATGCAATTATGTTCAATTGAAACCTGCATTAAAAAATGTATCCAAGCAATATAACAATTTAAGTTATTATTATTATTATAATTTTATAAAATAATGATTTTATGATGAATATAAACTGCATTATAATTTATGATAATTTATACATAATTTAATTCAACATATAAAATAAACGTATCACAATGCAATTCATATAAATATACAGTTTAATAATTTATTACTAATATAATGCAACTTTACAATCCTTTGTATTTTTTTGTTGTAATGCAGTTGTTCAATTGAAATCTGTATTACAAATATAAAAAGTATCAATGCAATAATATATAATTTATAAAATGATTATTATTATATTTTTTATAAAATGATTTTATGATGCATTATAATTTTTGATCATTTATAATAGTATATCGTTTATTATAGAATAGTTAATACTATATAATAAAAAAGAGTGTCATTGAATTCTCCAGTCAGACTCACATGATCTAGTAGTTCCTGTAGATCTTCTGTGGCCGTTTTCTGGCTCTTGGGTGTTACGGTGACGACAGTGATGGGACTCGCAGGCAGCACTGGGAAGAACAGCTCTAACTCTGTCCAAAACCAACAACGATTCGATTCAAAAACTGGAAGTGTGAAGAGGTTGGACATGTTCTATGAGACGCAGTACCTTTCTTCAGCAGCTCTGGGCAGGAATGCATGGAACACTCCACATCTGACTGACTGAAATAGTGCTCAGCTTTCCTGACTCTCTGCGCCGTCAGAGACACTTCTTTACCCTGAACAAACAAAAGAATCAGCAACACAACTGAAGAACCAAAGGATGTCTGAGCAGATTTTTACCTGATACTCATTCACAAACTGAGCGAGGATGAACTCGTGTCTCTCTGTGCTGGATGGGGTGCTTAAAATGTCCGGGACCATCCTGTGAACCGGCCCTGTCATCTGTAACCCGGTACCCTTCAGGTGACAGTCGAAACCCACATTGCCTGGCAACTGGAAGCGCTGATCCTGAGGCCCAAACGGACCCATGGTCTCATCTGGCCACACTGTCCTGGGACCTGTCAGACAGACCATTACATTACCTTTCATTTCAAAGCACCGCGGGATAACAGTTGGCCATTTTAAGCTATAAATATATATATATATATATATATACAAAATGTAATATTTAAATATATAATATATAAAAATATAATGACAAAAAAAATACAATATACAAAATACTATAATATTCACACACACACACACACATCACATTATATACAGTTACACTATAATATTAAACAAATTTGTTAACACTATATAAATTAACTTTAAGTACATATATAAATAATATCAATTTCATAATTTCTAATGTTGTTTTAAATACATTATACAATTAAATTTATTAACTTTAAATGCATATTTATAACAAATAAATATCACAATTTATATATATATGTATATATTTATTACACAATTTATTTATATATTTTATGTTTATAATTATATTATAATATATATATATATATATGTCCCCTTTATAATCATCCTACTATTAACTAATTACTATAGTTAAACCATGGTAACCACAAATTAACCATAGTATTTGTAGTAAAACTGGTTACTAAACTTTCACTACAATAAAACCAAGATGTTCATGTAACAGAAACGTTCATAATATGCATTACACACCTGAGTTTTGAGATGGCACAGCTATATACGGCTCATCTGATCCAGACGAACCCGCGGCTGAAAATCCTCTGATGGCCACGGTCCTCGGAGCCAGTGTGAGAACCACAGACGACTGACTCAGCTGTCTGACCCTCCTGCACAGCACCTGCATTAATAACACACACATACACACACACAGCGTTACAGCACACACACACTGTACAAACACATGAAGAACTGGAGCAGCAGTCTGTGGAACACTCACACTCGCCATAATGTGTGCACAGCTCCACCTCACCGTAACCTGCAACAAACAAATATATTCAACACTCTTTTCAAAGACTAAACCCTTCAAAGAACAAATAGACTAATTAGAATAATGAACAACAATAAGTTATATAATATAAAGTATTATATACATAACTATAAATAAAAATATACATGTGCAAAAAACATGTTTTTTTTTTTTAATTAAAATAAGGATTCTCATAGTAGACAAATATTATTTGAGCCAATGTTTCTATGCGTTAAATTATATTAAACATTATTTTATATATATATATATCCATAACGGCACTTGTTTTTTTGACTAACGTAAATAAAACTAACAAACACGTTAAATGTCAAAATCTGTCATGCACATTTATATGTGTACAAATGATCATGGCAGAGGTTGATTATGTTTTTCTTTACAGCATAAATCAGCTTTTAATCACCTCAAACCCACACAAACACCCCACTGCTATGCTCCTCTCACTTTCATTTCAAACACGATTAAAGAACGATACAAAACGCGACTTTAGTGTCAAACTGTGATCGACATGCTCTTCTGATATTATAGATCTACATGACACGGGTTTAATCGCGATTTGTCATTATTTTAAAAGTGTTTTTAAGGTAAAGTACAGCGTGTTCTCCACTTGCCCAGTTTGTCTTCACAAGGTTCTGCTGATCACGCTCGCACGCCGAGCGTCATGACGTCATGACGGAGCGCCGCAGAGCACAAAAGCCGCAGAAAAAATGTAAAATGTGTTGAGTGATTAAATAAAAAGTAAAATATTGTGATTAAATAAAAAGGAAAAAAAGCCGCGAAAATGTTAAAATAAGTAAATAAATAAATAAATATTATTTTAAATGTTAACAATATTCAAATTTATATTAATTAACATTAAATGCACATATAACTAATAACAATAACACGTTAAAAGTTAGATGTTATTATTTATATATGTATTTAACTGAAATATGTATTGTTACTATATATTAAACATTTAATGTTAAACATAAAATATATTAATAAATATACTAAAATATATATCAGTACAGAAAAACAATATTACAATTATATATATTGTGAAACTTGTGAAATAGAAAATATACTAGGTTTATTGTAATAATTAATGTCGGCTACTAGTTGTAGTAGACCAATGATATGATAGAAAGTACAATAAAAGTATTTTTATTTACTTTTATATTATGGAGGGCTAAATAACTACAAATTAAATCATTAAATAAATGTTGAAATATATAAATAAATCTTTAAATTAATATTTAAATAAATAAATGCATAAATAAATATTATATTTATTTATTCATTCGTTTATTTATCTATTTATTCATTTATTAAATTAAATGAATGAGTGTTTATTTATTTATGTATTTATTAAATTTTATTTACATTCATTTACGTATTTAATTATGTATTTAACGGATTTATTTATATATTTCAATATTTATTTAATGATTTAATTTTGAGTAGTTTGGCCCTCCATATTAAATCGTCTTGCCTTTATATTTAGTACACCGAGAAGAAATTATAATTATTATAAATAATATCGTTATCATCATTATTATTATATTTCATTATCCGTTATTAATTTCCTGTCGGTCTTCAGCGGTCGTTATGAAATCGCATCGGTCGATTGCGTCACAATCACGCATGCGTTGACAGGCAACGTCCACTAGGTGTCAGCAAAAGCGAAGCAAACGCTTGCTATTCTGCAGCTGTGCCGCTGATCTATAATAGAGAATATTATTATACAGATCAGTGAGCTCTGCTAAAAATGTCATTTTAATGGCACTATAAGAAATCACAGACAAAAACGGCACGAAACAACAAAGAGCAAAGGAGAAAGAGAAAGCAGTGGCAGGGTTATAAAAGAGCGGGAAGCTGTCATATGAGGTGAATGTCGCTGCACAGGAAGGTTAGACAGGGCGAATGTGTCAGCAGGCCAGAAAAAGCCTGTTTGAGGGGCAGCGCGTCTCCCTGAAGACTGACGCGTCCTCACAACGCAGCGAGTGAGGTTTGTGCCAGAGGCTTTTACTCTCTCAGATATTCACTCCCGCATCTGCATCATTAGCGGCCGCCCGCCATCTGGTCAGCAGCAGGTCTTTGAGACGGGTGGATCGCATGGGAGCAAGGTTGCCAGGTTTTCACTACAATTGCTGCTCAGACCTAAGCCACTAGAAGACAAGCCTGCAACCATTAGCCAAAAAAGCGTAACGGCTAATGCTAAAGGTCATTGCACACTGAGTCCGAAATTTTCCAAGTATAGGTCTCTGCAGGAAAGTAATGGGAGTTACCAAATCGGGGCGTTTTTAGACCATGTTTCCTGATTGCCTGTGACTTCATAGTGACGGTAGGTTTAGGGGTGGGGCTAGGTAAGGGGGATCATTTTGATTGCATGATTGAGAAACACCCTGCAGTTTGAAAACACCCACAAATTCAGGAACGCCCACTTTTGCTCTGCAGAGACCTCCATCTCAAATTTTCACACATTAAAAAATAAATACGACCTCATGTTGTGTCAATCACATTTACACACTGCCTCCAAAACTTTCGTCCATCATAAAAAAATTCAGATAGGGTTTAGTTTTCTGCGTTTTTCGCATCTGTAGCAAGCATTTTCAGAGGTGTTTTGACAACTCAGAGCCAACGTAGAAGCAGAAGCCAAAATTGTATGCTGGTTTCAATGCCTGGCGCGCACCTTTCCGATGCCACAGTTTGGTGCGTGTGTGTCCTTACCATAGATATACTGCCAGTCTCTATTCAGGAACAATTTTAGAGTTTACACCGAAAAAATTGCTGTTTTAAAAGAGACGTCACTGACTTTTTGCAGGTGGGATTCAGCTTACGGCACTTCTCATTTATTCCTATGGGATCCGTAAACGGCGATTGAGTTTCGCCCAACTTTGACTGAAATTCAATGACGTCAAGGCTGTAATGTGATTGGTTATTACGGCACACGTGATCCAAGTTAGCCGTTACTCTTTCTCCAATACAGACCCTCTCATCTCCCTATAGTAAGACAATCTCTGCTCAAACTAGCCTAAAACTAGCCCAATCACATTTCGAGGGGGGTCCCCATGTAAAAATCACATTCTGGGGGGTAAAATGCACGTTTTTTTGGTGGGGTTCCACTGATTACATTCGCATTTTAGGGGCTATATATCACGTTTTTGGGGTCGCTTAAACCCACGGATATGAAAAACAATCCACGGCAACAGTGGCGCTGTCCCAAATTGCACCCTAAACCCTCACGGTCTTCCTCTGAGTCCGCACTTTCGTGACGTAATGCCACTTTGACTGTCGGGTAGAAGTCTGCTGTGGAGCTCGCCCCAGTGCGGGCTTGGCAGAAGTGCGCATCGAGGGCACATAGCGGCCGCAAAGGGGGCACTCGCGAGCACCCTTCTGAACGTAAAAATGACAAATGGGACACCTTACGGTCTCATGGATTTAAGGGACACGCGCACGCGGCAGCCATTGGAAGTCCGTAAGACCGCAAGTGCACATGAAGTGTTCCATTTGGGACAGGGCCAGTGTTGAGGTAGTCCAATTCCGATGAAATGACACACAATCCGACATCTACATTTGAATAAATATTTTTTTAAATCATAATTATATGAATTTTTAGTTTTGGTAGTTAACTATTCTTAAGGAAATGTGGGTGCAAAACTTACAACACAATGTGCCGGTAATGGTTGCCAGGACTTTGCTGTGTGGTTGCTGGTGTTTTGAGTTGTTTTAAGTGTGTTGCTATGTGGTTGCTAGGGTATTCTCAGGGGTTTCAGTTGCTATGTGGTTCCTAAGGTGTTTTACGTGGTTATAGGTGTGTTATGTGGTTGCTAAGGTGTTATGACTGGTTTCAGTTGTGTTGCTATGTGGTTTTAAAAGCGTTTCGAGTGGTTTTAAGTGTGTTGCTATGTGGTTGCTAGGGTGTTCTGGGTGGTTGCAAGCAAGACAACTTAATGCGATGCAGAGACTTCAGGGAACACTTTTGAACCCGATGATTCAATGAATCGTTCATTAAAACGAACAAACTGAATTCACCAAAATGAATCTGGAATGCCAACCTCTATCATCCATAGGCTATTTTTTCAACAAAAAGTAATTATTACAAAAGATGTACCAAGGCCAGATGTTTCAGAACAAAAAATATGAGTGATATAAACAGGAGTGTGTGGAAACATCCTAATTCAGAGCTGTCGCCTACTGTGCTCGAGTCTCAGAAAATGCGACATAGGAGCGGTGCTAAATCTGAATCGTGTTCAGAATTTTAATTACTTGGCATTTGTCTGTGGCAGATAATTAAACTGTATATGATTATATCTTCTTTCTCATCACGCTAGAAACGGTCTGAATGACATTTTTAAGTTGTAGGACACACAGTATGTAAAACAAATAACGGATTTAGCTGCTTCTGTGTGCCAGAAAAAGGAGTAGGAGATAACAGACAGCTTCCTCCTTCTTGGTCCATTCTCGTTTGTAATGGCCACGTAATCAAAATCAAATCAATGCTTGATGTATAGCATTAAAATGCCCACATTCTCCACCACAATTATCAAATTTTATGCAAAAATATGTCACAAACATATTATATAAAATTGGCATTTAGCATGTCCATTTATGCTTTCTTTTTCCCAAATTCCGTTTTTTCCATTTTAATTTTTCAGAATTCCGTTTTTTTTTTCTGTTTTATTTTTTCTAGACTCTATTTTAACGGTTAAATAAAATTTTATTAATCAAAAAGCATGTCTAATTAATTGAAATCATGAAACTTGCAATATTAAACAGCTATTTATTAAAAGTTTAGCAAAAATAAAATTTTAAGGCCCTATGAAATATGTTTTATTTTTCTGCTAAATAAATTCTGGTAAATCATTTTTCTGGTTAATATTCTTTTAAAAATAATGTTTTAATAATAATTTTAGTAGTAGTAGTAGTACTATCATTGCATTAGGTAATATTTCTGTCACAGTTTCTTCAAGTTAAACCAAACTTTTATTTTGAACTTTAGGTTTCTGTTTGTATATGATATGACGATAGTTTTACTCAAAAGAAATGGTAAAATGCTCAGGAAGTGACTCTCAGAGCAGTTCTAGAGATTATGTTCATGTGTTCATATTTTGAGACGGTAGAGGCTGAAAACACTGCGAGCGTCACGTGTGCTTCAGTATGTGTGTAGTAAACGAAACCGTGCGTCTGCGCCATTCATTCACTCAGAGACACGCACAACATGCAGGATTCATATTTAAATGGTATTTTTGCAGCTTAATATTCACAGACACTAGTTCATATCGCGTTTTGATTTAAGTGTTCTGACCTACTTTTGATTTATCCATCCAAAATGTGGCAAATTCCATGACATTCCCCATTATACTGTAAATTCCGTTTTTGTGATTGGATTCCGCAATTCTGTCCGCATTGCTGAAATCATAGGGCCCCATCTATGCACATTACAGTAATAAAATGGGTGTCTAGCACATCCATTTTCAGAATGAAGCATGTATTGAGGTCACTAATAGTTTAGACTTCAAATTCCTCGTATTTCTGGTCCGTAGCAGAAACGTACAAGTCAGAACTGGGCCTTTTATTGCTGCGCTGTCAAGCTCAGAGAGCCCCAGTGCCAAGAATCAGCATTTTTCCAGGGCCGTTTCATTTCTCGTCCTCCCTCTCTTTTTCTCTCAGGAGATGGTAGGGGGCTGTTGGTGCCTCATTAACTTGCCTGCAGCCCTCAGAGGAGCACGATGGTCGCTCACTGAGAACTGACTGCATCTGTCACTGTAAAACTCATAAGCGCTAGAGCTGCTAGAGAACTTGGGGACAAGCCTGATGTTGGTTTCACAAGGCTAAAAAACCAACTTTCCATGTCATTACAGGTAAACAGCGCAATTGTAATTCCTGTTCGCCACATGCAAATAAAAGTGTAACCGCAGCTGGTCTTTGAACCGAAGCTGACTGACAGGAAACGAGTCTTTACAATAATCTTTCCCCTCAGCAACATGTTTTCCACACCCTGACTTGTTTAACCCTTGATAAGAAACTCTTGTGCTCTCGGGGAGATTTAGTAGGTGTTTGTGTGATGTTCGTAGAGCTGGTTGAAGGTTTGCAGCTGACGAAAGTTTACATTTTTGCAATCTGGTCACCTCTGGACTGCCTGTCTAAGCCGGGCCACTAGAATGCCATGAGTTCTTGGAGTTCAAGTTTGACATTCTTCTTTCAAAGATCAATAAATTATCTGATGACACACTGGCTTAAAAGACAACATTTTTGGATTGAACTCTTCCAAGTTTTTCTGCCTTAAGCATGGTATAGAATTGCGAGGAATTCAATTATTAAAGTTCTAATAATGAAAAGAATGCAAAAAATGTATTTAGCTTATTATTATTTTTTAAACAAGTCTTGTGAAAGTCTTTTAGATCAATTTTTTTTTTCCATTTAAAATATTTTTTTTATAAAAATGACAAAACTCAGTGACAGAACTCATAATGTGCATTTTTAATTACATAACGTCATATGAGTAACTAATTTAAAGTGCCCCTATTATGCCATTTCCAATATTGCCTTTCATGCAGTGTGTAATGTAGCTGTATGTGAATGTAAACGATTTGCAAAGTTGTAAAGCTGAAAGTGCACGATAAATAAAGTTATTGTCTCCCAAAATAAAGAATCGACTCTGAACAGCTGAAACGAGTCGTTAGTAATTCGAATCCCACTTCTGTGACGGCTACACGTCACGGGGGAACACATTTGCATAATGCGCCTATGTTCTACATTGGCCGGCTGCGATCAACTTGACCCCGCCCACAAACACGTCATTCTACTGACGACTGCTTCTCTAATCTCCGGGAGTTCAACGCGGGATTCACAAAACGCTTACGGAAAGGCGGGGTTTAGAGAGACTGAATCTTTGAACTGCTTCGAACAAATCCTTTGAGAATTGCTGGAAAATGAGGTGATATTAAATGCATATTTTGAGAAAACGAAAGTGTTTTTTGACCTTGCATGCATGTAATCCTATTGCAGGAGACTCCCAAAACAATATTAGGAACCTTAAAAATGGCATAATAGGGGCACGTTAAGTCTCGCAGGCAATTAATACAACATAACAGCAAATTGTAAGCTGTCTATTTTGATTCACTAAAAATAACCAGTTCATAAGAGTGATTCATTCAGAATCAGATTTAATTTCTTGCGCTTCATGTTTTGAGTTACTAAAAAGAACCGGTTCATAACACTGATTCTTTCATAATCAGATTTCATTGATCACGCTCTGATTCACTAAAAAGAACTGGTTCATAAGAGTGATTCGTTCGGGAATCATACTACACTGGTTGCGCTATGCAATTAACTAAAGAGACAACTCATAAGAGTCATTTTGTTCGGGATCCAGACTACACTGGTTGAGCTATTTATTTTTGATTTACACAATGGGCTCAAAAGATGAATTTGTTCCGAATTGAACTACACTGGTCACGCTATATGTTTTTGATTCATTAAAAACAACAACTTTATAAGAGTCATTCGTTCAGGAGTTGGACTACACTAGCTGTGCTGCATCTTTTTGATTCACTAAAAATAACTGTTTCGTGAGAATGATTTGTTTGGGAATCAAACTACATTGGTTGTGCTATGTGATTCATTAAAGAGATGACTCATAAGAGTCATTTTGTCTGGGATCTGGACTACACTGGCCACGCTGTTTATTTTTGATTTACAAAATTGGCTCAAAAGACGAATTCATTCAGAATTGAACTACACTGGTTGTGCTTTATGTTTTTGATTCATTAAAAAGAATCGATTCACAAGAGTCATTCGTTCTTGAGCTGGACTACACTTGCTGCGCTGCATCTTTTTGATTCACCAATAAGAACTGGTACATAAGAGTGATTTCTTCAGGAATCAGATTACACTGGTCACACCATGGGATTCACTAAAGAGATGACTCATAAGAGTGATTCGTTCAGGATCTGGTCTACACTGGTTGATTTACCAAACCGGCTCAGAAAACGGATTTATTAAGAATTGAATTACACTTTTTGATTGATTAAAAAGATTCATAATTCGTTCGGGAGTTGGACTCCACTGCATCACTAAAATGGGCCAGTTCATAAGAGTGATTCATTCAAAAATCAAACTACACTGGTCGTGCTATATGTATGTGATTCACTAAAAAGAGCCAACCCATAAGAGTAATTTTATTCAGGATCCAGACAGTCCTGCTTGTGCTGTATATTTCTGATTCAGAATTGGTTTAAAAGATGGATTTGTTCAGAATTGAGCTACACTAGCTGTGCTGCATCTTTCTGATTCACGAAAAAAGAACGTTTCATAAGAGTGATTTGTTCAGGAATTGAACTGCACTGGTTGCACTGTAAGTGTGATTCACTAAAAATTGCCAACTCATAAGAGTCTTTTCATTTAGTACTGGTCGCACTGTATATTTTTGATTTACAAAACAGGCTCAAAAGATGTATTCCTTCGGAATTGGACTATACTGGTCACACAAATTTTTTTTCTGATTCAATAAGAAGAACCAGAGTTGTTCATTTAGGAATCAAACTGCACTGCGCTCTCTATTTCATGCTGTAGATTTAGAAGCGGTGTCGCGTCACTGCTGAATAGTAGTGCTATTCATAAAACTCTTTCACAGTATTTCAGTACGAGTAAACACCATTGAAAACATTATAAAAGACTGTTTTTTCTCAGTATAAACAGCCTAGGCAAATAACTCCACATAACACAATTATATGCTAGTCAGGACTTTATACTTTCTGTGGAAAAAAACTGCTGTCAGTTCAATTTGTGCAGAGCGCCGCATATCTGCTCCAGGGGTTGTCAGTTCAGCCGGTACCCAACCCCTCTCTAGGACTTTATACTTTCTGTGGAAAAAAACTGCTGTCAGTTCAATTTGTGCAGAGCGCCGCATATCTGCTCCAGGGGTTGTCAGTTCAGCCGGTACCCAGAAGACCCCTCTCTGTCCCGGAGAACACAGCTCTCTGATCTCTGTGGGTTTTGTTCTTTCCCCTGCTTTGATTCCGGAAGAAAAGCAGCGAGTATTTAATTTGAATACTCTTAACAGTGAGGAACAGAAGAGATATATAGTGTGAGAGGAGGTGGGGAAGAGCGAGAGAACTTTGAAAGGAAATAGTTTGCATATAATTATGACTGATTCACTGCCCTCATTCTGAAAGTGGTTACAAAGTGTTGAAATGCTGTTGTTAACTCTGTCCAACACAGCAAAAACTCATTCAGAAAGAGAAAATGAAAGGAATAGAAACACCAAAAGGAAAATTCATGCAACTCATGCAATACATATAATGCATTATTATTCTGCTGTCACCTGCTTTCTGCTCTAATCACAAGTTTTCCTATGTGCTGGCAGGTTTGTGTGTTTGTGTGTGTGTGGCAGAATTGCCGCGAGCCAGATCTCTACCTCTCGCTTTCCACACACACATACGTAGAGATGTGTTGAGGGAAAGAGAGCAGAACGGTGACATTTTGTAAAGCTGAAATCATTGTCACACTAAAGCATTCTGTCACTTTATGTCACACCAGCACAGAAAGAGAGCTAGACTGCAAAGAATAAATTGTTTTTCACAGATGGACGTTTACAAGGTTAGCCAGAACAAGAGCAACAGAAATAAACTATCATGAACGCTACTACCTGACATGTAGGAATGTTTGCACATTTTTGACATAAATTAACCCACAGTCAGTACACTTGTTTGTACTTTGTTCCACATAATGTTAAATATTCACTTCAACAATTTTTGTTTGCTCTTTGTTTGAATAGTAGTTAAATATTTGCTCCAGGAACGTTTGTTTGTATTTTGGAAACTGTGGTGAGAAGTCGAACAAACAAAACACTTAATACGTTTTAACAATTTTTTGTACTTTGTTCAGCATCTCACCATAATATGCGAACAAAACACTAAATACATGCGTTTAACAACGTATGTATTTTGTAAATTGTGGTCAGAAGTCCAACAAACATCTGTTTTAACAATGTTTGTACTTCGTTCAGTGTCTCACTGCAATTTACTTGGTTCATTTTGCCAGCTCAATTTGCTAACAAAATGCTAGATATCTGATCTTAAATTTGTTTTACCGTTCGATTCGTCACCTCGCAAAACAACTAAATATCAGCTTTAACAATTTTTGTTTGCTCATTGTACGACTTGTCAATTCAATTTGCAAAAACAAAACACTAAAAACATTTATTTTTGACTTCTCACCACTATTTGCAAACAAAATGCTTTCATTTTTTTGTTTGTACTTCGCTTGACCTCTCAACAGAATTGATTTAAAAAACCCACAAATATCCACTTTGACGATATTTGTTAGAAATGTGTTTTTGTAACAAATTAGATATTTTTCCTTTAGCAAAAAAATTTTGTTTGCACTTTATTCGACTTGTCAATAGAATTTGCAAACAAAGCACTACTGTATATATCCACTATAAAAAACATTCGCTTATTATAATTTTTTCACTAAATGCAAATAAAATGCTAAGTATCTGCCTTAACAGCATTAGTTTGTACTTCGCTTCACTTCTCAAGAGATATTGCAAGCAAAAAAAATAAAAATACTAAGTGTTGGCGGTAACACTTTACTTAACACTTTACTTAAGGGGAAGTCGTGGCCTAATGGTTAGAGAGTCGGACTCGTAACCCAAGGTTGCGGGTTCGAGTCTCGTACTGGCAGGGATTGTAGGTGGGGGGAGTGAATGTACAGCGCTCTCTCCCACCTTCAATACCACGACTGAGGTGCCCTTGAGCAAGGCACCGAACCCCCAACTGCTCCCCGGGCGCCGCAGCATAAATGGCTGCCCACTGCTCCGGGTGTGTGTTCACGGTGTGTGTGTGTTCACTGCTGTGTGTGTGCACTTTGGATGGGATAAATGCAGAGCACTAATTCCGAGTATGGGTCACCATACTTGGCCACATGTCACGTCACTTCACTTAAAAGTCTTTATGTATAATGCATTATAAAGGTATTCATAATGTACATTGTAATACATTATATCTTTTCATAAATAATTGCAACCAAAGTTAAAATGCATTATAATATTTTACGGTTTGTTTGTCCTGTGTTTTTTAATGCATTATATTTTCTAAATGAATAGATTATGTTTTATAATTTTGGTTACAATTATTCATGAGATCATACAATGCATTATAAGGTGTAATTCAAGGCATAATTAATGCATTAAAACTACTTTTATAATGCATTATATATAACGGTTTTAAGTGTTACCATATCCGCTATAACAATATTAGAAATCCATGCAATTTTTAAATAAATAACACATAGTTCACATAGTGAAGTTGCTGTGATAATAATAAGCAAGTACTGCATAATTTTAATAGTTCCGAAAGCATAAAGCAGAATTCATGGAGCAATCATATTCTGTGTTTGTGTGAGGGGTCTGATGCAGGCTTTGTGTTTGGTAGGGGAGGCAAGCCTTGTTTACCTGAGGGAAATTCAGACGGTGAAACTCTAACCCAGACACACTATGCAGCTGATGGCAGTGCTACTGTCAAAACACTCACACACACACGCACACACACACACACACACACACAACCCCTTTAACCTCCCCTCTCAACATGCATCATGCACACACACGTTTCTGGGGTCCTAACCTGCCTCCATCAGCACGCATTATGCACGGCATGTGTGTTTCGAACCCTGACAGATAAAGGGGAGTGAGGCCGCCACACGACACCTCTGTACACATATACGATAATAAATGCAGATTAGATTGACTGTCTCTTCCTCCAAGTGTGTCCACAAACAATGTAACACATTGCGGACATACAACAAGCGTCCCTTTGTGAAACAAAACTGTGGCTATTGTCAACAGATATTTATTTTCCTTTAGCTAAACATGCGATTGTTGGGACAAGTCGAACAATGTTCAAACAAATGTTGTTAGAGTGGATATTTAATGTTTTGTTTGGGAACTGGGTTGACAAGTGAAACAAAATGGCTATTTCGTTTGTTTGCAAATTATTGTGACAAGATGAAAAAACATGTTTAACTGTGTTGAAAAAGTTTGTTTGCAACAGTACAAACAAACATTACTAAAAGGGATTTTAAGAGTTTTGTTTGCAAGTTGTACTGAGAAGTCAAGTACAAACAAACATAGTTAAAACAAAGATATTTAGCATTTCGTTTGTTTGTGGTGACGAGTCCACAATGTTCAGTTACCGCAATTTGCAAACGAACCCTAAGAATCCACTGCAACAAAGCACAAAGAAACACTGTTAAGAGCAGATATCTAGTGCTTTGTGTGCAAATTCAGGTGACAAACTCAACAACAATTTGAGAACAAACATCGTTAAAGCAGTTTTTGTTGAAAATTATGGAAAAAAAAATTCAAACAGTGGATGTTTAACGTTTGTTTGCAAGTTGTGCTGAGAGATCAAATCAAGTACAAACAAACATTGTAAAGAAGATATTCAGCGTTTGTTTGTGACTTGTGGTAGTACGTTAGATGAAGTACAAGTACTTCAAATGTCAAATGTTTTATTTGCAACCTGTGGTGACAAGTTGATTGAAGCACAAACAAACATTGTTAAAATGGATATTTAGGGTTCGTTTGCAAATTGTGGTAACTGAACAAATTCAAACAAACATGATTAAAATGGATATCAAGTGCTTTGTTTACAAATTGTTGTGACAAATCCAACAATGAACAAACATTATTAAAGCAGATTTTAAAGTGTTGCAAATTATGGAAAAGGTAGCCAAACATTGTAAAAGCAGATATTCATAGCATTTTGTTTGTTTGAGTCAGATGAAGCGCAAACAAACACTGTTATGGTTTTCTTTGCAAATTGCTGTTGCAATGTTGAAATACAAACAAGCATTGTTAAAGCAGATAACTTCTGCTTTATTTTCAAATTGAGATGACAAATTGAACAAAAAAACAAACAAAACCACATTTTGTTATTTTTCAATACTTTTGTTGCAAATTATGGAAAAAGCACAAATTGTTAAGATTACTGTAGCTTAAGTGTTTTGTTGGTAAATTGTCATGACAATTCAAAGTGCAAACAAACATTGTCAGAGGAGATACTAAGCATTTTGTTGGTAAATTGTGGTGCTGGTTAGAAACAAAGTACAAACATTGTTAAAGCAGATTTTTAAAGTTTGTTTTGCAAAAAGGTATAAACAAATATTGCTAGAGAAGATATAAAGTATTTTGTTGTTAAACTGTGGTGACGATTTGAACAAAGTACAAACAAACATTAGAGTGGATGTTCAGTGTTTTGTTTTGTAACAGTACTAGCAAAAATACATCCTGCTGAATGCATTGGAGCATACTGGCAGTACTGTAGGCAGTAACATTTACTGAACTGGACTGCTCACCGTAACTCCTGAAGTCCATCGATTTCCAGAGTCAGTCAAGCAAGAGCAACACCAGGTGAACACGCGCACACACACACACACACACACACGGTTGTTTTGATGTTGTCTTTCTCTCACGCTCCATCGACCAGCATCTGTAATTTATCTCTGAAACAGAAGAAACATCAAAGGTTTCAAAACATCAAAACAGAAGAAAACATCAAAACAGAAGAAAGGTTTTCATATAGTAGGTTTAAAATTTCATATGGTGCTTTCTTTCTGTTTTTCCTGACCCAAGTATTGTGAAACACTAGCGTTGGGAGTATCAGCTGTACTGTGAGGAAAATCGAAACGGCCATATGTCCATATCATTAACTGAAACATTAAAGAGATATTTTTCCATTGTTTATTTATTATTATTTGATTTAATGGTTTATTATGATAACATATATTCTATATACAATATTTAACAGCATATTGTGTATTTCAAAAACGTTCTGGATGAATAGGGTTGGAAAAAAATGTTACTTTACACATCCATCTTTGTCAAAACTTTGAACCTTGTCAAAAAAAAAAAAAAGGCAAAAGATGCTTCTGTCAATCAAAAACTACAAATACACTAGAGGTATTAATATTGACATAGACGCTCGATGGATGACTTATGGTGATGGTTGCAACAGTACTTCAACATGTTGACATAACTGGGTGAATCTGACTGCAGAAAGCATTAAAATTCATAACATGGATCATATAAAAAAAACTCAAAAGCATTTTGTCTGAAAATTCTGGTGTACCATTGCAACACACATGTATACACACAGAGACAGTCAGACACACACAGTGTGGTACAGTAGGTGTCCTGGGGCTGATGTCTAGGTACGAGCATTGACCTTTATTGTCCAGATGAGGGGAAATATTAGATTATCACTGACCTGATTCAGCTACCGAATCATATCACCTGAAATTAACATCATGCGGATTAACACAAACAAACAAATACATGTAACACAGGCATGTGCAAACACACGCCACACTAACCTTTTTACAAACAACAACAACAATTGATTTAGCACATTTAAAAAAAATATATATATATAAGATAATAATTTAACAAGTTACAGATAAAAAAAATTATATTTGTTATTTAATAAGCACTATTTTTAAAAATCATAATAAAATAATTATAATACTATAAATAGAGTACTATAAATATATAAATAGTTTATTAGCCTAACTAAATAAGCCTATTGTCAAGCAATGTTTCTGAACACAGTTCATTCAATCAGAAATTAGAGTTAGAACTAAGTAATATTTTAGAAAATAAAGTAATTCACCTTTAAATCTATTATGAAATATTTAAAGATGAAGTGTGTAATTTCTGCTACATCTGTGGCACCAGTGTTACTGTTATAATTTTTGTTAATATTTTTATTTTGGTATTTTAAAATTTAGAATTTATTTTTATATTTTCTGTTTTCATTTATATTTTAGTTGTAATAAATATTATAATATTTATATTTGTAAATTTCTAATATAAATATTATTTTAGTTATAATGTATGTTTTTGTCATTTTATTATTTTTGCGACATGTACAGTTTTTATACAATTTTGTATTTCTTAATTTTAGTTATTTTAGTACTTCTTTTGACATTGAAAAACTGCTTTAAATTTAAATGCAGCATAATAGGAGTCTGTTTGCTGTCACTCCACATCTGGATGTAGAGTTCAACATCACATCCGATGTTGACTGAATCCTTCAACACGACAAAGCCAAGCAGTTAATGAATCTGTCTGAGAACTGCCATCATGTCAGAACTCGACTACAGAGAGAGAGAGAGTGTGAGAGTCGAGCCAGAGGGACAGAAGAGAGAGTAGATTCGTCAGCGTGATTTGATTTGATATGGCTGGGCCACGAGCTCGTCTAATTGCAGGGAAGTTGATCTGACAAATGGATCTGGTCGGTGTTATCATGCTGTACATGCGCCTAGATGGGGAAAGAGTCACTCTGTACAGCTCCATTGATACTAATGACTCAAACACAGACATTTCAGATTAGTAGCGCTTCCTTAATTTACCCTTCATCAAGCCCTACCTAAAAAAAATACAATTTCTGATCAGATCTCAGAAAAGTGAATACTATGAAATTTGAATCCAGTGTCGTTTTAGTATAATTGATATTCTCTTATAGTTTTTGCTGAAAATTTATTCACCCTCAGGCCATCTAAGGTGTAGATGAGTTTGTTTCTTCATCAGAACAGATTTGGAGAAATGTAGCATTACATCACTTGCTCACCAATGGATGCTCTGCAGTGAATGGGTGCCGTCAGAATGAGAGTCCAAATAGCTGATAAAAACACAATAATGAAGGGCTTACAATGACTTAAAGTGAAGAGCTGTGTGTTTGTAAGAAACAAATCTATCATTAAGGCATTTTAACTTTAAACCGTCACTTGTGGCCAATATATCAGACCATAATCCATAATAATGCTTCCTCCAGTGAAAAAGTCCATCCACTGTTGTTCTCTCACATCAAAATCCACCAACACTGTTTATAACGGTTTTGTTTTCGCTTGTAAACGGTGCTTGATCTGTGCATAATTCTCCCCTGATTCAGACAACATTACATTTTCACTGAAGAAAGCAATATTAAGGATAGAAGACTCATATTTTAGCCCAAAGCAACAATTTAAAGTTCAAAACATCTTAATGATGGATTTGTTTCTTACAAACGCAGCTTTTCACTTCACAAGATGTTAATCGATGGTGGTGTGGATTGTTGTGATGTTTTTATCAGCTGTTTGGAGTCTCTTTCTGACGGCACCCATTCACTTCAATGGATCCATTGGTGAGCAAGTGTTGTAATGCTAAATTTCTCCAAATCTGTTCCGATGACGAAACAAACTCTTCTACATCTGGGATGATCTGAGTGTTAGTAAATTTTAAACCAATTTTTGGAGTTTTGGGGTCAACTATTCCTTCAAAACTAAATGAAAATAAGAAATGTTGCCTTGGAAAACTAGCTGAAATAAAATAAGTTGTAACTGTATTTCAAGTAAAAAAATCTTTCTGACGGCACCCATTCACTTCAATGGATCCATTGGTGAGCAAGTGTTGTAATGCTAAATTTCTCCAACTGTATTTCAAGTAACATTTTTTTATGGTTCTAGTTTTAGTTATCAACAATAACCCAGCTTACTTGGTAGGCGCAGTGCACCCTCGTGCACTTACTAACACCCAATGGACGCAGAATAAAGGGCATAAATGAGCAGACAGTGCAGCTATACTCATTTAAAAAGCCTGATTCAAACCTCAAGGGTGTTATACGCTAGAGATGCATTGGTGTAGTTCCCTGGTATGGATGCTAAACCAATGTAGAAACCAAAAAAACGCAGTTAAGCTGTGGGAATTTACTATTTTCTACGAGTACACAAAACCACTCAATACTGTTTCTATATCCTTAAGAAAACCCCACAAGAATAGCAAAACATGTCGACATTCACAGACAAACATGTCGCCAACTAAATGCATGTTCGCAGTAGAGGTTATAGGTGACTGCACACACATAGTCTATATATTGTAAATCTGCAAAAGGGGAAACTACAAGGTGAAATAACCATTCTGGGAGCATCTGTGGAGCTCTATGTCTCAACGGAGGTTAACTTAGAGGTCGCAGCGGCTTTCAGTTCTCTATTAGGAGAGAATAGCGCTTTGGAGAGAAGTAATGCTGCTCAAAGAACTGGCTCTGATGTGGACGGCTCCAGGCTGGACCCCTACTTAATAAAACACAGTCTGCTGGTCTTTCAAGAGCACTCATTTGATCCTGATGGAAAACAAAGGGGTTTCTTTTTCTGATCTGTCAAAAGCGGTTTTTCTCAATTAAACGTGCAGGCGTTTACACACACCACAGATCAAGACCAACTCATACAAACACACTCTTTGCGGTTATTTGTACGTTTTTTTGCTGTTCTCAATCTCGTAAAATGATGTATGTAACAGTATGTTAAATAAATCAATACTATTTTTACATTATACTCAGTGTTGGGAGTAACTAGTTACATGTAACAGAGTTACGTAATTTAATTACAAAATAAATGTAATTGTAATCAGTTACAGTTACTGAGAAAAAAATGTGTAAATTACCGTTAAATATGAAAGTTAACAATTACATCTGAATGTTTTCACACACATACACACAAACAGATTTAACTGATTTCTTTCCCAAAATGCAATATATTTAACCAGTATATGTGCAAATGCAATATATTTGATCTCAAATTAAAAAGAGGTGCTTTTTTTCTCAAAATTGCGAGTTTATATCTAGCAATTCTGACTTTATAACACGCAATTGCGAGTTTATATCTCACAATTCTGTAAACGGACTTCCATAGGCTGTGCTTTAACATTAAATTATTATAATCTTAATTCAAACAAAGAAGAATTTTGAAAGTCTGAAAGTAATCGTTGTTGAGTACTACTAGAAGGTTAACCCTGCCTGGTTTAAACGTTTCAGAATTATTATTTGTTGAAAACGTTCAATAGAAATTTAGAAAAGTGATCAAAAATTTATCAAATGTAATCAGCTACATTACTTGAATAAAGCAATTGAAATAGTTACACTACGTTTTAAATAGTACTAATATACTGTATACTTTGCATGCTGTAAAACTGGTGTTCAAAAATGTAAATCGTTTAAGGTTGTACTACTGTAAATCTATTAAGTGGTAAAGTTAATTTTATATTATACTGCATGCTGTAAAATCATTTTTAAATCACTCAGTGCTGTAAACTGTCAAAGCTATTGCATTGTAAAGGTACTTTTAAGCTATTTCGTAAACATTACATGCTGTAAAAATAGCGTTCAAACTTGCAATTTGTTCAATTTTGTAAATCGCTGTAAAGCGACATTTTCTATACATGCTGTAAAAATACTGTTTAGTGTTTTAAATCTTTGTAGACATCATTCAACATGTTGTAAAGTTTACAAGCCATTTTGTTTATTATTTTGTTTGTACCATAAAAATAACTAACGTTTAAGTGTTGTAAATTGTTCAATCATGTAAATGACTTTAAAGCGTTTACTGTATGTTGCAATATTATTTTGTGTATACATGCTAAATGTTGTACTGTCATACAGCTATTGTTATAATATTAAATATAGCTTGACATC